TTTTATACAGTTGTAGAAGATTGCTGAGGCAAAATTTCACAATGTTCATAAATGGAACGAAGTACATGTAGAGGATCAGAGATGTATAACATTTTATCTGCATTTATTTTATATAAAGGTCTCATAACACAGAAGTGTCACAGATAGGTAGATTCTTAGATGATCCTGAACACGGTAGTACTTAAAGCTCATAGCAGTCCTGAATGGACAAAAAGCTATTGAAACTCAACATACATTACTGGAGTACTCACAGAAGAAACAACTTTTAGCCCAGCTAATAAAATACTTCATTCTGATGCAAATAAAATGCCTACTGAATTGTATAAAGAAATACCATTGTCTAAGAAGTTCAACAGTATCTTAAAAGGAATTAGATTCATATTGAAAGATACCCTTGAAGTCTTTTAAAATGCATTGGTGCTTATTTTGAGTTATATACTCTAATAAAGCTGTCATCATTCTGGCTTCCCTTTTTAGCAAAACTTTAAGAATCCCTGTGAACTGGTTTGAATTCATTTTGGTTGGAGATTCTCTCTCAATCTCAGCAGGGGTAGTAGGCTATGATTCATAACATACGCTTTAGTTGGAGTCTCCTATTCCTATTTGGACTTGTCAGTTTACCTGAATAGTTTTCTTTCTTGTAAAATGCCATAAAAAGTCACTTGATTTACTGAATTCTTGACAGCATTCCATGGTTAGTATTAGGTTTCCTCTCTAAAACACAAATGTAGTTGTAAAATTGACTGTAGAAGAATTTGCTTATTGTGAACAGCAATGTCTAAGGCACAAAGAGAGCATCAGGAAATGCTCCCCTGAAGCTCAGAGCATTTGATCTGAACTGTACTTTGGTAAGAGGTAGTATGTCTTATTCCTTATCCTCCCTACTCGGGACCCACTGGCTATTCATCTTGAAATCAATGCCAAGAATCCCATTGACTTCAAGGAAAATTAGTCTGGCCCACATTTTATGAAAGAAGCTAACATGCATAGCAGAAACTTGGCCAATTCTCTATGCTTTAGTAAGGTAAAATTTCCAGTAATTAAATGGGTCCTTCTTCCTGAAAGTTGATAAATCCAAACATCACCACAAATCTCTGCACTTTCAAGAACTGAAATGTCTGTCTTCCCCTTCATTTGTGGCTATTTCCAATGGATAAGACTGTCTCTGAAACTCAGTGATTTATTTCACTTTAGACCACAGCATTTCTGTTTCTTTTAGACCTGTGACTATACAATATGATAGGATTTCAACAGACTTTTCTTTTCCAGTGGTTTCTTTTTTCTTTTCTTTTTTTTTTTTTTTTTAAGAGAGGAAAAAAAGAAGACTATGCATCGCTGTATTACAGAAATAATTACAGCTGCATTATTGAAACTGTAATTTTACTAGCCTTGTGCTACCAGAATGTTAACACTGCTCTAAAAATGTACAGAGATATACATCTGCGCTTGAGTTTAACTGCTTGGAAAACTTTGGAATAAATATGAGGATTTTTTCCCCCCTTCAGGAGCATGATGTGAGTGCTGTTACAGTACTAGTTTTGTTTAAATACAAGACCTGTACTGTAAGCCTTTGGTGGCTGAAAGGTAAATTACATTCATGCAAAACAAAACTGATGAACTACTGAAAGCTGTAGCTGCTGAAATAAATTCCTGTGTGCTAAATTTATGGGAACTATGCACTGTGTACACCACAGTACATTCACTTGCAGATTCAACTTTCAAATGACTTTCATTATGAAAGTAAGTAGCAATATTGTGAGAACAAGGTCCACCAGTGATGAGCAGAAAGGCATAATTTTGTTGTTGGAAATACTGATGCTCATCAGCATATGTTAAACCTTGTGTGGATCAAGGAGCATTGCTTGTGTATTTATTTTCATTTACTTTTCATTGCTGACACGGAGGTAGTAGCAGGGCCTAAAGGCTCAGTTTATGAGGTACCCTACTGTATTAATTTATTTGATGTTGAAATTCAGGGCCTCCAGTGCCAAGGGTTCCTCCTACAGGCTGGCTTTGCTTTGTCTTTTATGAATGTACTTGTTTTCTCGGTGCTGTAACTGCAGTGTCTCCTGTTGCTGTTCTACATGTTTTTACATTTTACAATGACCAGCTTACTGAAAAGGAGAGTAAAGGATGAATATTGTCTTCCTTTCTTTGCACAACATTCTGCAGAGTATAAAATTTTGATACCTAGATAACAGAACAGAAAGATGGTCATTTTATATCTACTCTAGGTTTATGCTAAATTGCGTAACTGTCTAGCATAAAAGTGTTTAGTATTGATACTTAAGTGTGTTTGTTGTACTTCTCACTACAAATCATAGGAAAGACAGCAAGTGTTGGTCTTCTACATGCCACCCAATTCATATAATTGTCTCGTATGCCATTTCCTGTTGCATATTCTAAAATCAGGGAGTCCTTAACAGCTGACAAAGAAACCATGTGTTAAGATGTTATTGTTGAAGAGCAGATAATTCAGACGTGAAGTTTGGCATAATTAACTGAAAAAATATATAGACTCTGGGACGGTCAAGACAAGCTTAAATTTGGATCTCTAATCCCTGTTAGGCATAAGGAGGTTCTCCTTACTGATCCACACCCACTAAATGAGCACAATCATTCTTAGTAACACTGCCAGCCCACCAAAAACATTTTTTTTTGATTATTTTTAAAGTTTAATGACAAATCCTTTCTCTTCTTCACATTAAAAAATAAAGGATGTGCTGGAGTCCCATTAAGGGACTGCTTTAGAGCCTGGTTCTCTGAGGCACTTACATTGTTTAAATTTTAATTTCTCATCTGAAATTTTTATTTAAAACACTACTTATAATAACAACAACAAAAAAATTCTTATAGTCTTTGGCTTTTACTCTTGCAAAACCTTCTAAGCTTTTTACCTGTGAATTCTCTGCCAATTCCCAGAGGCATGTTTTTCCCTTCTTTTGGCCTCCTCTAGTCAGTGCTACAATACTGTGGGAAAGCACTCTACTTAATGTCCTCCCATGATATTTTGACTAGGAATAGAATATATGAAAAGATATGTGACTACATTCACCTTTGGTGTAATGCCATGGAAGATATTTCAAATGGCAGTCAATGAGGTAACATCACATAAATTTGGCTCACACAACACACTGTTTAGAAACAGGAAATTTGTTATGTAGATGCAAAGCAGGGAGAATGGCCTGTAAACAGCACTTTGAGTCTCCACCCCTCTTCTTGTTGCAAAGTATGATTTTCTTCATAATTATAAATGATTTGCTAAGTAATTTCTTGGTGTGTGGTTTATTCATTGCAAATGTCTAGCCTGTAAAAATGGATGTTTGAGCTGTTTTGCGTAAAGAAATGGGGCAGACATTTCAATCCTGTTTCCTAACTGGATAAAAAAAATCTCAGAACCAAGTTTTTAATGTGAATAAGATACTGCTCAATACAGTGTTACATATAAGTGTAAGGGTGCCTTGAAGGCTACTGTTTCTGGTGTTAGTTGTATCAAACTCCAAGTTCTATGAGTAGGTGAATATTCCCGTTGCTTAACTAGTCTGCTATAATGTTTGTGAAAATCTCACCAAGAGAACATGAACAAAGCCAAAATAAAATCAGCTACAATATGTATATTGTTAAGGAAAAATTCCTTCCCTTTAGACTTCATGTTCTGAGTGGCTAGGAAGAATGAATTTATTATTCTCATCTTTGTTTTGCAAAGCTCTTTGAAATCAAAGTTAGATTTACACTCCATAAAGTAGGATTTAAACACAAATTTCATATTGATTTATTGTTAAAGATGAGTTTAGCTGAATGAGGTGAGAGCCTGCCAAAGAACTGGATGCATCTCTCTTAATTCCTCTTCAGATACCTTAATGAAAGCTAGCTCTGATTCTAGCACTCTTCATCAACGGATCTCAAGCCAATGGCGCGACTGTGGCTGCTTTCTGTAGTTGGATGGAGAGGTGTATTGCATATGTAGCATTGCCCAGAAAATACTGTGTTGGAAATAGGTTTCAGGTCTCCTGATTGCTACCTGATAACTCATTTTATAATAAAGACACAGGAGGTGGACCACAGACATTTCTTTTGATCTCTGCTTGCACACTCTTGCTTATTTCTAGTGCCCAAATTTGATGCTGTGAATGAGGAAAAATAAATTGTTTAAGTTATTTCACATGAAGCATGAACCTGCAGTATTCCCCTCTGTTCTTACACAGGGGGTTCTCTAGCCTCAGGGCTTTTAAAATTGCTTTATTTAAGAAACAAATACTAAATCTTATTTGCAAAGGCTTCTTAATTCCTGTTGTTGGTTCAACGCCCTCCACAGTTTAGATACATTTATGGATTTGTTGTCTTGCAAGGAGTCTTTAGAGAACCTGCAGTAAGGAGAGGTAGATTCCTTTCAACAGATACCCTCCTGGATCATAGAATCATTAAGGTTAGAAAAGACCTCCAAGATCATCTGGTCCAACCATTCCCCTACCACCATTATCGCCCACCAAACCATGTCCCTAAGCACCAATTTCCTTATACAACCCCAGGGACTGTGACTGCACCACCTCCCTGGGCAACCCATTCCAATGCCTGACTACTCTTTCTAAGAAAAAATGACTCCCAATTTACAATCTAAACCTCCCCTGGTACAACTTGAGATGTTTGACTTTTTTTTTTTTTTTCCCTTAATTAATTTTAAAAAGGGACCTCTATTAGAGAGATTTTCATGGTTTGTTCTGAAATCTGCAGATGACTGTCTTGCTCATGTTCTTCTATTATGTGACACTGCTTGGTATTGTTTTCATGAATACAGGTAGAATAAGAATTCTTATTGCATTGAAACACCTTATTGTATAATGCTTAGACACTAGGTTAATTTTCACAGGCACTGGGCTGTTCATGAACAGCTCTAAGGAATGTTGCAGTCACAGGGTCAGATTAACATCAAAAAGAGTGAAAGTTACCAAATTAATACAGACTCAAATAAATCTTTGTCATTTTTTCTTTTATGTTTTCAGGTCTAGCACCTGAACGACGTATCACGAACCTGCAACTATCAGTGACACTTAGCACTTGCAATTGCAGGGAAATACATTGTATTTGTTTAAGGATCCCTGAGTGGGCCAACTGCAGGTATGTCCTTGAATTTTGTATGTGGAAGGTAAGTAGGATCAGTGAAAGACTGATCTGGAAGTGGCTGAGACCGTGGTGATCACATGGGCACTGTGCTTTGTGGGCTTTCAATCTGTACATCATCACATTATGACAATGAATATCTATCACATTTTAATAATTTGTCACTTCCTATCTACAGGGGAATACTTCCAAATTAAGCAATGGAATTATTTTGAAACTAGGCATGTATTAGCTGTCTTTGAAAGAACTGTGCTAATGGACAGTACCAATCTCTTGGAAAGGAGCAGAAATGCAGAGATAATCTAGGTTATGACATCTTGATGTTATTTTAGGACTATACCACTATCTATTTTCAGCATATATATATATTAATAAATAAATAAATAATAAAAAAAACTGTGATGCTCTACTTTTCACTGACCTGTATCCCCTGCTTCTGTTCACTCTAATTGGCACTTACAGGTTTGGGCCCTTACAACTGCCATGAGAATGAATTAATTTGATGTGTTTTAAGCTCATGGTCTTATCACAGTTTAATTACAAGAATAAATTAATTTTGAATATTTTTCTGTCCTTAAAAATATACCTTACTTTAAGAACCAAAAAGGGGTGATCATTCCATTCTCATTATGTCCCCGGGATTGCCATGAGAAATAAAATAATTAATATCTGTGCTTATTCTGTATCATTAGTCTTTGTCCAAAGAATGGATTAATGAGAATATTCAATGAGAATCAGAACATCCTGGCATTCACTTCTGTGAAAACTCATTCTTGTGTCAGAGACTGTAATGAGGACTGAAGGATGAGTACAATTAATTCACAGCAACCTTAAGGTTGTAGTGAGAACAGAAAAGGTACATCATTCCAGACTGATGACCAAGATCATAAGAGAAGATGAAGAATGAGTAAGAGATTGAAGTAAAAACATTTTAAATCTGCATTTTAAAGCCTTTGATAGACAGTGTGCCATTTAAAATCCATGTTAGTTTTTATTGACTACAGTTTTCATTCCATTAGTGGGCTTTTTTCACCTTTCCTTCCCAGATGTTTCTTCAGAACTAAGCAGGTACTTATCAAACTGATTTTTCCCTTTCCCAGGTAAGAGGTTGGCAAGAAACAAAAGAAGACTGAATTACTTTTTGTATTTCATAACAAAGGCTAAGAAACAACACCATGGAACAAAATGGCCTTTAGAGTAATTTCCTTGGTATCCATGGGCTTGAAACAAACACAGTGATTTTGGCTCAGTATTATATTTCTTCGGTATTCTTTGCTGCAGTGATTAAACGATATACTACTGACAGGGGTGCTCATTTTCTGAACTACTTACAGTACAAAATAAAACAGCAGCTCACATCAACATGGAGTGTTTGGGTGGGCACAAAGGACATGAACATAGGAAGACAAGAAGATCATACAGCTGATTAGTTCAATGTTTATGTTAGGCCTCGTGTTGTGTGTTGCAGGTATTATGTTTGTTGTGGAGCAGTGTCCTTGCAGTTGTGTAAGTGTTGCTGGCTTTAAGTGACAGTTACTGATATAAAATAATTCACGGTAGCAAGAAATTAAATGAGTGTGTCTCCTTGAAAAATGCTTAAAAAGGGTGCTTTGCTTTTAATGAATTATTAGCATTGCTTAGTTTCTGTAGGCTTAACAGAATTATTATAACAGCATGCCCACTCCATTATATTTTAGGTAGTGTCAGGTTTTCCATTATTAAACCCCGTATTTTTATTCTTAGTTTGTTTGGTAATGTGGCCATAAAAATTGACTACAGCCATGAACTTGCCAGGAAAAGATCTCAGCTTAGCAGAGTTGTTTTTTTTGTTTGTTTGTTTGTTTTTAAATAATTCTTAAATACCTCAGCTGTTTGATGGTTTGCAGGGGGAATGGAAGCCAGGGCTAACTCTTCAGAGAGATCTCTAGTGATGAGAGCATGGCCTTCTTACAGAACACTGTGGTTTATGGCATTTCCTGTCACAGAAATGCTGCTAGAAGTTAAGTGGGGAAACTTGTAGTGAGAAACTTGACAAAGAAAGAGAGGCTTCATACCCTTAATGCCTGATTCAATACTAGAATATATCAGTTCTTCTTTGTGGCTCCTTATATGTGAGTCAGAGCTGAAATTAAATTGAAGTTGAAGGTATAAGAGAAAAAAAAGTACTAGAAAAAAAAAAAGACAGTAGGGCAATAGTGGCTAAATATGGACCATCACTTAAGAATGTAGCATCCAGTGACAGGATGGGAGGCAGTGAACACAAACTGAAATACAAGAAATTGCACTTAAATACATGAAGCAACATTCAGACTGGTGGTCAAACACTGTAACAGGTTGCCCAGAGAGGCTGTAGAGTCTTAACACTTGGAAGCATTCAAAACCCAAGTGGATGTGGCCCTTGGAACCATGCTTTAAGCAGGTTCATCTCCAAAGGTGCCTCAGCTATTCTGTGCATCTATGAATAATAATAGTAACAAAATGACAGGGAACAAGATTGAGACTTGTGAATGCGTTCTCTCCTTTACATTGCTTGCTGCCTGGTGCAACAGCCTCAGTGAGGGAAAAGGTGTGTGTGGTCAAGCAAGTGGGAGAGGACTGAGCTCAGTTTTGAATCCTACTGATAGAACTCTTAGTGTTGAATATTGCCCTGAGCTGAGTAAGTGGGTTTCCAGAGGGCCACGGTTTAATGCATTCTTTACTGAAATAGTGCTCTTCATGCAGCAGTGCTTATTCTTTCATATTATTCCAGGTACCAAGAAACTAACATCATGCAGAGCCACCAGTCAACATGATGTCAGGTTGCTGAACAGTATTCTCTTTTTGCAACTCAAGGCCTACTTAGTCAGTGGTAGAGAGGCTTAAAACTTGACATTTTGCCAGCATGTTGGCACTCTGAACCAGGAGCTTTACAAAGATCTGTACCTTGACAGCAGCCTAACATGGAAACCTAATTATCTTATGAAGAAAACAAGCCCTGTAAGAAATACTACTCATGCTAGAGATGTATTTAAGAAACTGAACATACTGGCTTATTCTTCGACAGCAGGCCCCCTTGGGGAACCAGACACACAGTGCAGGGGAGGCCAGCTTGCATTCAAAGGCTTGAGAATTTTTTACTACTCCAACAAAATAAGAGAAGAGGTGAACTATGATGTCACTGCAATCACTGAAAGAGATGGCTCCGGCTATTGAAAATCCCACCTCTGTAACAGTTATTACTGGCAGAGAGTAGTGGATGAAAGTAGTCCCTGAGCAATCCTTTGTCCCAAGTCCTTCCTCACTTGCCCAGCTGCAGGTGTTCAGACCATCCTGCCAGCCAGCTAGTTGGGCTTAACAATTACCCACCTATTTTCTACAACAGGAGTTCATAAAGGCTCCTGGGAGGTCAGGTTGGTCAGAACATCTTTGGGGCAGTGAAATAGGTTAGATTCCCCAAATGATCCCTGAAGATATATAGTGTTATGGTGTTTAAAACCCTCTTTTGCTTCTCCACTGTGCCTGTCTCTAGTGCAAACTAGAGCCTTTGAAATTGGGACCCCAGTCCTTGCAGAAATAAACCACAGTGCAAGATAACCTTAGAAAACTGTTCCTTTGACCACAACAGAACTAGTGAGTACATTTTGACACAACCGCTTTCTATTTGATTCACCTACATTTTACAAATAAAGCTACTGATAAAGCCTCACTCCCCCCACCCCTATTTTTTCTGAAACTCTGTAGTAACACACACAGAGACTGTTGCAAGTAAGGCTTTGTGTGTGCACGCATGCGTGGACACATTAAACTGATACATTTAATTAATGAAGACACCTTGGGGCTTAGGTCTCATCTTGAAATCACAGTATAAAAAATTAAATGCATGTATAATGTGTGAACGGTTGCCACTGAAATCTGTAACCCATGAAACATCAGCTCTATTCCTACTTAAGAAAGTGTTTTAAATAATTACATAATATTACTGTGATAATACAGTAATAGTGCTATAGTAGCAGCATGACTTTGGAAAAAATAAATAAGGAGGAGATGTATGTCTTCTTTTTTACTCTGAAGTATGCGGTATGCTTCTCTCATTGTTTTCCTTGCATGCATACATGAGAAGTTTGTTAAAGTGAGAACAGTTGCACTGTGAGCATGTGCAGTGACTAGAAAAAAAAAGTTGAAAAGTATTTGGGGTATCTGTGCTCTACTTTCAAATATGTACAATTATAAATAGTAATTGACATAGCTAAAAGAAGGCATATTTCAGAAGGTTATCACAGAGGGAATCACATTTTCTTTGTACTACAACAAAGCTTTTTCAGGTGCTTTGGCACCTGGGAGAATTCACATCATGTAGAGAATCCAAAGCTCTCTGTGCACTACAAAGACTAAGTACCATAGAGTAGTATTTGTAAAGATTGATACTTGCATGTGGGAATAAGTAGTGGAACTTGGAGGAAATTGGCCAGAGCATGAAATGTAAAATGATGAGGATGTTGATAACACACCTTTATTCCTAGCCCTTAAGTCAGGAGTTCCTAACTGCTGGATTTCACCTGAAATTAGATACTTCAACTGAAATATAATTTTCTTAGAAAGGCGATGAGGGAACCCTGTTTCCTTATTTGCCAAGAGAAGGCTTCCATTCAGTTTTGCGGAAGTAGTTTTTAAGTGAGGGAAAACTGGTGTCTGGTTGTTTTCTAAGTCCCTGACAAAACACCCTAAAAGTGCAGGCAACAGAGTGCACATTCTGTATTTTCTTTAGCTCATTCATTATGTAGTGTGTAGTAAAAATTGCATCTTCACTGTACCATAGTTACCTCGTGGTATATGGAACCAGCTTGTGTGGCAAAATTTGCAATTTTGTCACCAGTGAGTAGGCTGATGATTAGAACAACTTTCAGCTGCTATGCTACTTTCAAGTAGGGAAAACCAAGTGCAGTTTTGGATTGCTCGGGCTGCGTATTTGCCAAGGAAAAAGGTCTCTACCATGCTTTTCTCCCTCCATGGTGTTAATC